AAGCATCTGGTACCTTCACACCACCCAACTGACTGACACCCTCACACCACTGACACCCCCGCACTGACACACCCTGACAGCCCCTCACACACTCAGACACACCATAAACTCCCAAACTGACTGACACTCCCCTCACACACGCTCTCCTGTGCATGCTGGCACACTCACCCAGGCAGATACACACACACACACACTCACAGACACAACCCCCAGCCCAACAGGCACATTTGTGAGCAGTTCACACACACGAACACAGTTCACACACACTCCTCCTTCAGGGTGACCTTCGTGTCCTGCCCACAGCCGGGTCACAGCCACACTCGTGGCACTTACACCGGTGTCCCTGGCGGGCAGGCACTGACAGGTCTCCCACTTTCGTGCTCTAAGAGGCAGTTACACACCCCCACACTCACAGCCTGTCCCCTTGCATGCCTCAAGGATTTATATGCTGGTTTATCTGCTCACCTGCTTGTAGGCACTTAGTGCTCGTGTGCTCTGAGGCTCTTACACACACTCATGCTCGTAGGCACTCTTGTATTTGTACACACCTCTCCAGGATTATCCCTCACAACCTGCCCCCCCACATGCACACCCGTGGGTGCATTCACACCCTCACAGGCATTTACACTCTCCTGTGTGAACACACACTCACAAGCAGTCCCACACCCCAGGATTTCGCTCATTCCTGCCTCTGTGTGCACCTGGCAGGAAGGAGCACCCGTGAGAAGCACACTCAGGGATGCTTCTTCACCCAGGGGTGTCTGGCTGCCTGTTCACCCACACACTGCAGGCACACTCAGAGATACACAGCCCACAGTGTGCCTTGAGATCCCACTGGAGGCTTCTCTCACACACACACACAGAGCACACCCACTTTGCCCACGGCATTGCACACTTGTATGACACATCCAGGGGTCCTCCACTGCCTCTGCTCATGCAAGCAGACTCCATGGAGTCTGCTCTTTTTTTCTTCTCCCCACACAGAGGGTTATCTGCCACCTCTCCATAAGCCCCTCTTCTTTTTCATCACCCCTCTCACAAGCAGGATTCTCTTTGATTCACAGTCAGCCATATCCAAGCAACCTGTTGCCTTTACAACTCCAGCTTTCCTTTACACTGCCCCAGGATCACCCGGCAGGTCTGTGCACAGAGTGGTGCTGCCTCCTGCTCCTCTGGCACATGTAACAGAGCCAGGTCTGCTTCACACTTGCCCCCACAGGGCATCTGCTGCCTCTTACACACGTGAGTGCAGCGTGGCCACCCCCTTTCACACCTGGCACATTCTGTCACCTGGTACCTGACTGACACACAGACATGCTCGAGGGCTGCCAGTTACCACAGGGCCACCTGTCTTACTCACAGAGGTGTGTGTACTTACATACACGGAGCTAGATATATTTCCTACATATATTTTACAGCTCTGTGTTACACACAGCGCTCCCCATCAAAAAAACCCTTAATTTCTCTTAGTTCCCTCCTCCACTTTTCGCTTACACAGAGAGGTGCCCTGTTCCCTCAGGCCCTTCACCGTGCATTTAGTTCAAACTCCAGCGCTGTGTCGTACTTGTCAGTCATTTCCACCACACAGACACTGCTCTCCAGCGTGTTCACTGCCCCACACACCCCCTGCCCTGCACGGTGCCCCCCTCCCCTGTGACGCGGCGCGGTCAGTGCTCCCACGGGCAGGACGAAGCGGGACGCGACCCCAGGGCTCCCCCTCGAGTGCTGCCCCGGTATCTCCGGGGTTGTGCGAGGCAGACACAGCTCTGCAGCCCCCCGCCTCAGCTCCAGGGGGGCCGTGTCACCTGCCTCATGCCACCCAGGGCCGTGCCACACCTGTGCCCCCACGGCGCTGGCCCAGAGAAGGAGCCCAGCACCTCCTTCTCCCCCGCTCCCTGTAGCGAACGCTCAGTTTGTTGCTGTATGTTTCTGAGTGGCTTTTGTCCTTCTGTGAAGCTCCCTGTTCTCTGAAATTCATGCTGTCTCTTGGGTTCCACTTTGCAGACTGTTGAGCCTGGTTCATGCATGCCTGCTGGTTTTGAGTGGCATCGACCCTCTTAAATGAGTCTTCTTTTTGAAGTGTAAGGGTAAAATCCTTCTCAATAATGTTTTAACTGCTTAGGGGGACATTGACACATAAATTCTCTTTTTTGTAGATGCCCCGATCTAACTTTTTTCTTTTCTTTTTTTTTTTTTTGCTTTTATAGCTGGAGCCCTATATGGATGAAAACTTTGTTTCAAGAGCCTTTGCCACCATGGGAGAGCTTGTACTGAGTGTAAAAATCATTCGAAACAGGTTGACAGGGTAACTGTTTATGTTTGTTCTCCCAGTGCATTTGGATTGAAGCCTCACCGTGGTCCTTCCTTGTCAGAGTGATTTTCCCTTTGAGCTTTTTACCATTGCTGCCACCAATATGGGAATATTGATGAGAGCAATGGAGAGGGCACTGCTGGTTCTTCAGCCTCCCCTCAACAAACAAGGCTTGGCCCTCATCCTGAAGTGCTCCAGCACTCAGACAGAGCAGTGTCTGTATCCCATTCCATCCCTCTGGGAATTGCAGCTCCCAGCTGAAGGCTTTGGTGACTAGTCTGTAGTGCAGCTACATGATGCTGGCAGAGGTGGGAAGTCTGACTTGGAGCAATATCCCTTTTGAGTTCCTTTGGGATAAAATGAGTGACTGGACACAGAATAAAGTAGTTTCATTCTGACTCATTATTCTTTTAAGTGTTGTAATTTCAGTTTTCAGATGTTTAAACTTGGGTGGAAAAATTGATGGTCAGTGAAAGTAGGAAGTAAACTGTGAGCAAAACCATTTTGTGTGTGCTTATGATTTATGGTAAGTAGGGGCTATCCCTTTACTTGAGATCCAGAATTTCTACCTCCTTTTTGGTAGCTAATGTATCTACTTTTCAAAAGAAACTGTTCTAAGTATTGCAACGATAACAAATTTCCTACCAGTTATCTAAAATACAAAATTCCTCCTCGAATGTGTTTTTAATGCATAACCTTTGTCTCTTCTCTCCTGTGTTGTATGTTCAGAATTCCAGCAGGCTATTGCTTTGTAGAATTTGCAGATCTAGCTACTGCAGAGAAATGTTTACACAAAATCAATGGAAAACCCCTTCCTGGTGCTACACCGGTGAGTCAGTGGGATCAGCCAGCTGAGAACCAGAACTGGGAAGGGACAGATAGTGTAGAATCTGCATTTTGAGTGATTGCAGACAAATTCAATAGTTGACAAAGTGGGATTCTTCTTTCTTTAAAGTTACAAACATAAAACTATTGATGTTCTTGCTCAGAAGATTGTTGAGCAAAAATCGCTGATTTCTGTATGAAGGTCCAGATAAAATCCAGGTGGAGAGATGTTGTGGTTTTCCATTTCTGAGCCTTTCTGCTATTACCAAGCTGGACTAATGAGAAACCAGAGAAGAACAAGGGAAAAATTAGGTTGAGTATAGAGTAGACCTGCCACAGTCCTTCCCTCTCTCTCCATTTATCTGGAATCATGGAGTCATGGAATGGTTGGAGTTGGAAGGGACCTTAAAGCCCATCTTGTTCCACCCCCTGCCATGGGCAGGGACACCTTCCACTAGCCCAGGTTGCTCCAAGCCCTGTCCAACCTGGCCTTGGACACTTCCAGGGATGGGGCAGCCTGAGACAACAGTGTACAAGATGAACTTGCAACTTCACACTGAGTTTTGAGTAACTTTGGTTTGCAAGAGAAACGTGACTTTTAAGCCTCGCATTGTTCTCGGCCCTTAGCAAAGAAAAGTTATTCAAACCTCTTTGCAGTGGAGAAGGAGCCAGAGAATTGGATAATTGCAGTACATAACTAATGTCTCCTGTACGTGAAAGCTGGGTAGTTTGAGGAGAAGAGGAGGAATAGTCTCAGGGTCTAATTTTAGGAAGTTGACTCAAATGTGTGGTGGATTAAAACAGGACGGCTGACACAGCTGTCTGTTGTACCCACAGGAGTTGGCTGCAGTAGCTGGGGTGACTGGTTCATAAAGCAGCTCTAGAATCACCTCAGTTATGGTGTGATACACAAGGTAAATGAATTCCTGTTTCAGGGTAGTTAATACCCACAGTAGGAAACTGGGAAGTTCAGGTTGAGCTATTTGGTCAGCATTCTTCAGAGGGTGACGTGCCCCGTTAAAAAGGAGCTGATGAGAGGCCTGGAGGTATCTGTTTCATGGGTTTGCCCCTGATTAAGGCAAGCTGATCATCCTGGATGCCTTCTGTAGTCACTGGAGAGACAAAGAGAGCAGCTCTTGCGAGGAGTAAGATGATAATGGAAGTTTGGGTTTGGGAAGACCCATCTTTCTCCACAGTTTCATTTTAAAACGTGGTGTTGCATAGGGGGTGATTTGCATAACACACAGGGAGAATTACAGATGTCAGGCAGAGATCCAGTGCAGCCCAAAACACTGCACTCAGCAAGCAATGCCCAGCTCATCCCTCGCATTTAGAGACTTTTGTTTACAGAAAACTGAGCGTGGCTTTTATTTATTATTAAATACTGAATCAGCCAGAGGAATAACAGAGAGCCCTGGTGCTGCTGCTGCCTCTGTTTTCCAGAACTGGTGTCCCCAGTTCCCATCTGAGTGGAAGTGTTCTCAGGTGCCACACTGATTTTAAGCCCAGAATATTTGCAGTGAAGAGTGAGATCCAAAAGAAAAAGATGGAAGTGTTTCAAATTGGAATCTAAATTTTGTGTTGGCTTGTAAGTGATCCACAAAAAGTTGTGTAGCACTGTGCTCCAGTGAATGCAAGCATGCAAGGAACAGGATTATAGCCTAGAATAAAGTCTGTGCTCAGTTTCCCAAGAATTATTTACACTGTTTTTGAGGGAAGGAAACCCATCCTACAAGGTCCAGGAGCACACTGGGCCCTTCACTGTGCTGAACAGACGTCCTGATCTCTAGGGAATTTCTGATCCTGGTCTGAAATCCTGATTTCTGATCCCGAGATCAGCCCCTGATCCCGAGGGCTGATCAAAAGATCAGCTGCTCCTTAGATCTTGGTCTGGACTTACATGTGAGTTGGGCACAAGTTGCTGAACCCTGGTAGGATGGGGACAGGGAGTTGCAGATGTGTCAGTGGGCACAAATCTGGGCTACTGGGAAACTTGTTTTAAAAATCACATCCAATGCAAAATTTCAGGAGGCCTCCAGTGTCCAGTGACCCGTAATTCTTTCAAAACACCCTTAATTTTGGATCTTACTAAATGAGCACATCATCCAGAGCAAAGTATTTAGCCATGTTTCCAGATTGGGATTGATTTTCCAGCGTGGTAGATTCAGTGTTTGAAATTTCCAATTGCTCTGCTCTCATTTTCATTTTAAGACCTTTAAAGTTAGAAGTCATTTAATATTTGTTATTAACGCCTCTATTTAGGTTCTGATTTTCATTATTATATCTGCACTGGCATAAAAAAATCATCCTTAATCCCTTAACTGGGTGGTCTGACAGCATTTAAAAAGTTGTATAAAATCAACTGACTGCATTTGTTCCTAATTATTTGAACTCACATGACAACCTTTGAATGGACCGGGTTCGTTTTTGCCTCGTTTCAGGCGAAGCGATTTAAATTGAATTATGCAACGTATGGAAAACAGCCCGACAACAGGTGAGTGCTCAGTATTTAAATACTCATTTTGCCTGTTTTATGTCCCTTGCAAAGAGTATTCAAAATATGTAAACCCATGAGTTCATCAGTGCCACTCTGGAGGCTGCCACTTTTGTGCTTTGCCTTGTGTGTGATTTATCCAGTGTCTTTAAAGGTATTCAAAGTTTGTAGCATCAAAGTATCTAATTAGTGTGTTATAATTTAAGATCTGTGTATTGGAAATAGCAAATCTATAAGTGAGACATTAATATTTTCTTGCCATGTTAGAAATCCAGAGATGCCCTGTGAGAAGTAAGGAATTACCTTTAAATAAAAAGCAGTATTGAGTAGGTTGGTTGTGCTGCTTGAATTAACTTGAAAAAGCAGTGTCAATGGCTTAAAAAGCATATTAATATAATATATTATATATAAGTATCATTTTAGTTAAGTAGCTTAACTGGTGACACTTTAAAATCACCATTAAATGGTCTTTTAATATCACTTTTCTCCAAGGTCAAATATTTAGGCTAAATGGCAACTGTCACTGAGCACATCTCTTTCTTTTTTTGTAAGATTGTACTTAAGAAGTTTTTCTTTTGATCTCTTTAGTCCAGAATATTCCCTTTTTGTGGGAGACCTGACTCCCGATGTGGATGATGGGATGTTATATGAATTTTTTGTTAAAGTTTATCCATCGTGTAGAGGTGGAAAAGTTGTTTTGGACCAGGCAGGAGTATCCAAGTAAGTCCTCTTTTATTCATTCTTTTCTTTCACTGCAGATGCAGCAACAGAAAAGATAAAATGCAGCAAGGGGGAAAAAAAAGAATGGTTTTATCAGCTTAAAATACAAAGTCTGCAGTTTTCTTGGGGTTTGATGGTCACCACGGGGGTGTTGTCACTCCTCTGTCAGCGTGAGGCCCTTTGTGTGTTACTGCACTTCTTAAAATGCTGACAAATGTCTTAAGTAAGCTGGAAGCACTCTCCTCCTGGACTCTCAGGTGGAATTGTGCTGTTATTTAGGCCATTCCTGGGAGAGGGTTTTATTTCAAGCAGGGTAGGGCACACAAAGCTGTGATTCACTGTCGGGTTCTCAGTAGCCGCCTCGTTTGTCTTTGCTGGAAATGTCTTGCCAAAAACAGATATCAAAAAGCTGGATTTCTTCATGTAATTAAAGCATTTTCTAAATAGCACAAAATTGAACTGTATTTTCCTAGGGGAGGGAGCAATTGGTGAGAACCCTTGTTTTCAAAGCAGAGCGTGGCTTGGTGAAGCACAATGTTCTGATATAATACCTGTTGCAGTGCTGGGATGAGACCAAGTCTGTGGCTGTAGATCTCCCCACTTTCTCACATGAGGCTTCTCAGTCTTGGATATGTTGGTTTGAAGGAATCTCTGGAGTTCTGTGGTCCAGCTCCAAGCAGGACCAGTACTAGGTCAGGTCAGCCATGAGTTGAGTATCCTGGAAAAGCTCCCAGCATAGAGACAATTCAGCCTGTCTGGGCAGCCCATTCCAGAGCTGCACTCTCTCTTCATGTGCAACCTGAACCTCTTGCAGAGCTGCTCTGTCACTGTTGAATACTTGTGCAGTCACTGCTACCTCACATGGGACTGACACTGCTGGGGTGGGCTCCAGGTGCCTCCTCTTCCTCCTCCTCCTCCTCCTCAGAGGTGTAAACCCCACAGACCCTGGTTTGCTGCACCTGCCCTGGTGTCTGGTGATGGGTGCTGCAGTTTGGGCCATGAGTGGGGCTTTGGGAACTGCTCAGAAGTGCAGTTCCTCAAGGAAAGGGAAGCTGTGGTAGCTTGGGAAGTGAGGAAGGAGCAGGGACTTGGAGTCCTCTTCCAGGGAAGAGCAGAGCTGTCTCCCCTGGCAGTGCCAGCATGCTGCCAGGGGCTTTGTTGGGACTTGTGCAGTTACTCAAAGCTGAGGCAACTGCAGGTGTCAGGGTGATGTGAGAGAGGAGCTTTGGGCTTGTGGACGTGCCCAGTGAAGGCCTGGCCCTTCCAGCCAGGGCTGGTGGATCAGGAAGGCCTCTTCCCAGCAGGAGAGCAGCCTGGAGCTGTGGTGCTGAGCCTGCTTCTCTGCTCCCTGCTGAGGGTGCAGGTGTGGGGGATTTTCCAAACTGCAGGCACAAGGCAGTGTGTCTGCCAGGGAAGTCCTGGCCACGAAGAAGTGATTTCTTGCTGGGTTTTCTTCTGGTTTAGCTGCTGGTGTGGAAAAGCTAAGTTTCTGGAAGAGTTGGAAGAATCACTGTCTCCCTTGCTGCACCCACCATCAATTCCTGCACCCTACATCCAGCCCTTTAGCTGTCTGTCTCTATTTTGGAACTGCCAGTCTTCCCAGTTTCCCTTACACACTCCTAGTCCCACCCAAAAGGCTGCAGGAGTCTTTGTGGCAGCTTAGAAACTTAGTTGGTTTTGTGTGTGAGCATCTTAAACTGCCTGAAAGGTTGACTTGCACTGGCTTAATTTGCCACAGTCCTTTGGCAGAGGGCAAGTTAAACAGAATGGGGGCCCATGTAGAGTTTTGCTCGTGCTTAATTATCCAGTTTGTACATAGATAAGCCTGAGCTTATCTGGTGTTTTTGTGAGGAAGACACAGCCATACCTGTGTATTTGTATAAAAATAGATATTTGGACTCGTGCTGGCCAAGATAATGAGTTTTCTGGGGCACAGACTGCTCTGGGACAGCTTCCAGTGGGGACCTCCCAGGGGGAGTAGGTGATGCTGCTTTCCACATAACACATTACTTGGTGTTTAGGAGTTCCCACAGAACAGATAATACATTGTAAACTTACACCCTTGCTTACGGCTCGTTCTTTTCCCCAGCTAGACAAGTCCTTCCCTCCCAGACTCCTTCCTTCACTTAGATGGATTCCCTTACCCTCCCACACCTAAGTCTTTGATCTTTCTGCTGCATGAGGCAGCCCATCCCATTCTGGGATCCTGGCACTGCCCTCCTGGATGCTGTTGCGTCGCTTCTGACTCACTGCAGCACCAGAATCCCACGCAAAGGACCGTTGGGCTTGGAGAGAGTTGGTGTTTCTCCTCTGGCTGCAGTGCAGAGCTGCCCCACCACAGTGTTTTCACAGAGTCCAGGGGTCCTGGCTGTGCTGTCCCTGTCCCCAGCTGTGCTCTCAGAGCAGGTTTTAGCTCCTTGGTGTTACAAGCTCGTTTTAAGCCCCGCTTTGGGAATGACAGAAAGCCTATTTGAACATATTCCTGTTGAGAAAGAACTTGACTGGAAGGTGCATCTTAGGGAAAAGCAATGTTTTCCTTCACAGTTTGGGATGTGAGCAGTGCCTGTGTCTTGTCAGTGCTGTGCTGACTTGCAGCTCTTTGAGATTATCAGTATCCTCCCAGCAGAGATTTGGGGCTTTACCACTGTCTGCTCGTGCATTTCGACATGGCTTGTGTCAGCTCCCTTCCAGTTCTGCACAATCCCCTGGCACAGGAGCTGCTTTCTATTTGTCAAGCCCTTAAAAGCACCGCTGGAGCTTGGACCTGTGGCTTCAGGCACTTTGGAAAAGCAACTGGAAGGAGGAATCATTTCATCTCTCCCAAAAGCAGGGGCAACAACCCGAACCAACGCGTTTCGCTCGCTGCGTTTCCCAAACCAATTTGAAATTTCACCGTAAATAATTTTTTAAGAAGTGGCCTGGCTTTTTGGGGGTCGGTTTTAATGTGGTTTATTCTGTGTCTCTGCAGAGGTTATGGGTTTGTGAAGTTCACAGACGAGCTGGAGCAGAAGAGAGCGCTGACAGAGTGTCAGGGAGCTGTGGGGTTGGGCTCCAAACCCGTACGATTGAGTGTGGCTATACCAAAAGCGTGAGTATAAGAGCAGCCAGGTGTTCACCATGAGTCACCACATCTGGGTTTAAATGTGTTTTAGTGGTTTGGGTACGTTTCCTGGATGTTTCCATCACAAAGTGAAGGAATACCCCTGATAATGGGGAGCATCAGAATGCCCAGGAATTCAGAGAAATGATAACATTAGCTCAAGACTAAGCGTGTTACACTGTTTTTACTTGTATACATTATAAAATCCACACACATGTACCCACACTGTAGTTAAATATGATTGTTTTTAAAGTGTATGTTCCTTTGCTTTTAATTGAAATAGCCTAAATCTGCTTATTGATGTCTGGATAGCAAAGCTCAATTACCTTGCTAATTCTATTATGATGTCTACTAAATATAAGTATTTTGGGGCAGGGATTAACTTTTTTTTCTGTGTTTGTTCAGAACCTGATACAATGAGATCCTGGTCTGACTTGGGGCTCGTAGCACTAGGGTAATACGAATCATAGTAATTGCTCCCTATTTGAATAATATTTAGATTTTCAGAAGTCTTGGGGGGGAAAGGAAGAGAAAAGCAGAAAAAAGAGGTGTACTGTGGTGAGAAGATTGATGTTTCCTTCTTCCTACTTCTCACTAATTTCATCACTAGCTTTTTATGTGTGACATATCTTCATTTTCAAACGATGTTTGCCATCTCATTTCAAATCTTGATAGTCAGGTGGGATTCCAAGTTCCTTGGGAATGCTGCCACTTTATGGAGAGGAATGGGAATTTTAGTCAGCTCACAGGGTACTTGAGTTTATTTTTTGATTACCTGTAGTTCTTTTTATTTCATGAACTCTTCCAACTCTGTGCACAGAGAGTGAGAAAGGGGACAAGTCATTGCTTAGGTTTCTGTGTGACAGTGGCAGAAGGAAGAGGGTTTTGTCCATTCTTATTAAAGAAAACTCCAATTTTTTTGCAAGGCTTTAAGTCTTTAACTCTTCAAGATTCAGTACCTTGTCTCAGGAAGCTGCAGATTACTTAACTTCATCCTATTTATCAGAAGCAAAAAGGGGCCCAAGAATCTGGATTGTGGTTCAGGATTGTTCTAAAACTGAAGCTCGTGGTCCTGAACTCTTCCCTTCCCAAAGCCAGGAAGTGACCCTAAATTAACTCCTAAAGAATGAAAGCAATGTTTATTAATGAAGAGGAAGATGAATACAGGAAAGGGTGTTGAATTTAAACCACTTCTTTCTTTATGCAAATGTATGCAAATGATAAATACTGCTGTAGTAAATAGTGAATATATTTTAAAGACTGAAAACTGCATGTTAGCCTAAGCCTTGTCTATGTACCAGACTGTATCTTAAGCTACTTCACTGCTTTTTTCATACTTGTTCTGCACTATTTGCAACTCACTCCTGCTTTATTTTTTGAAGTAACCGTGTGAAACCAATGGAGTACAATCAGATGTACAACTACAACTACAACCAGTATTATCAACAGTATCACAACTACTACGCCCAGTGGGGGTACGACCAGAACACGGGCAGTTACAGCTACAGTTACCCCCAGTATGGCTACACACAGAGCACCATGCAGGTAGGGCAGCCCAGAACCACCCCAGAGCTTGCCAGTGGGGATGGGAACGTTTTAGCTTCAAGCTCTGAGGATCACAGAATGTCCTGAGCTTGAAGGGGCACACAGGGATTATGGAATCCAACTCCTGGTCCTGCACAAACACCCCAACAATCCCACCCTGGCCCTCAGGGCATTGTCCAAACCCTCCTGGAGTTCTGGCAGCCTTGGGGCTGTGCCCACTGCCCTGGGGAGCCTGGGCAGTGCCCAACCAGCCTCTGGGGGAAGAACCTTTGCCTGAAATCCAACCTGAGCCTGCCCTGACACAGCTCCAGCCATTCCCTGGGTGCTGTCCCTGCTCCCCCAGAGCAGAGATCGGAGCTTCCCCTCGGGAGGAGCTGCAGCCCCAATGAGCTCTGTCTCAGTCTCCTCCAGGCTGAATAGAACAAGTGATCTTAATAACAGACCTCTTAATAATGAGTTCTTAATAGAGCTGCTCTCTGGTGTTCAGTAGTACCTGGTGTGTCCTGTTGCCTTATGTGAGGTAAAATGTTGCCCCTTACACTGGGTAAGGACACAAGGGGTCTCAATACAGTTTTCAGGATAGAAAGGTTCTCTTGGTACAGGCAGCACTCAGGCAGCCTTCTGGGATCCTTCCTAAGGCTTGTTTTAAATGACAGAACACATCAGAACAGCCACCCCACTTCACCCCAGGAATTGCAAGAACTGCTGCCTCTGTCAGAGGTGTAGTGTGGGATCTCCCCCGTGGAGTGTTGGGAGTGGAACACAGGCTTATGCGTGAAGAATTCTGTTGTAATCACTCTGATATAAAAGTCAGTCTCTGACAGTACCAATCAACAGGTGATGCTTGTAAAAGAAAAGATAATTATCTGCTGTCCTAAGGGGTTTGTTTCTCCTTGCAGACATATGAAGAAGTTGGGGAGGATGCACTGGAAGGTACGTTTCTCAAATCCTATACTGAAGTTGTCTGTCTGTTCTGCACTGACCAGAGACAGACTTTCCCAGTTTGTCCCTGATTTCGGTGTGTACCATCCCTTTATCTTTGAGTAAATCTGAGAACTTTGCCTTTCCCCCCCCACCCCTGCAGATCCCACGCCTCAGTTAGACGTCCACGAAGCAAACAAGCAGTTCATGGAGCAGAGCGAAGAGCTGTACAATGCCTTGATGGACTGTCACTGGCAGCCTTTGGACACTGTCTCCTCAGAGATCCCAGCTGTGTTATAGCCTCGTTGCTGAGGCACTGTGTCTGTGGAATATCCCACCAGTGCACTCCGGACTGTTCCGCCGGATCCCGCGGGATCAGAGGTGACCCTTTCCCCCCCCCAGGCCTGGGACTCGGGAGTACAGGAGGACTGTGGCCCTTTTCCTGTACAGAACAAGCGTCGTAGGAGCATCATGGTAACCTTGACTCATGGTGAAAATTAGAACTGCAACAGTTTTATTCCTTTTTGTCTTGAAATGAACTCTTGATACTTGTTGGGAATTGTAATTTATAAACTTTCGACGAGGTGGCACAGGGGAGAGACTCTACCCCACCCTACAATAAAAAAGTTGGTCTTTTAAGTAAAAATTACCCCTTGCATTTTGGTTCCTGCCCCTTTTGGTCCCTGCCCATCTTTCTGTTTTGCTGCCCATTCAACTTGTCTCCAGCCATTTGGCCCAACACTTGTGAATGTGTTACTTTTAAAAAGAAAGATCATTGTTGGATGCCACTGAAAGGTCTCAAAAGGTTTCTAGTGACTGGGTAAGGTTGCTGTAACTTGAGCACGGGATGAAAACTTGTGTTCTGGTTAAGCTAAGCTGTGATCATGAGCTAGAAAGTTTGGTGTTCTTAAACAGCCTACCTGAAGAGCATTTTGGAGAGCAAAGACAGAAAGGAGTGTTAGAAAACTACAGACCAATGCCTTTTACCTGGTGATCTCTTGCACACCTGACTTGCTTCTCCACCTGTGTATGAGGAAATAATTCCCCATCAACCAAGCAGTTTAAAAACACTTTAACCAGCAACCATATTTAAATGTTATTTTGTGTATCATGCCTTTATTTTTTTATTGGTCTCGTTAATGTTGAGATTTTGTAGCGTCTTCCACTGTCCTGTCAGAGGGAAACAGAAGGTCTTGCAGCAAAAACGGGTCAGAGCAATCTCACTGATATATTGTGCAACAAATTGTTGTGAACCTGGAAAGCAGTTTTCTACTGGATGTTGTATAAGCTGGGTGGACAAGCAATATAAATAAGCTGATATTATGTTGCATTAGAGGTGAAAGTGAAAATAATAGCACTTATGTACGTGTTATAAGCCCTTTTCAGGCTTTTGTGCCTTAAACTCTTGGAGAAATAGGAACAGAGAAACTACCTGTAATAAATGTCTATCCAAGGAATAGTTTGGTAACTGAAATTGCTGCCGAGCGTTTCGTTGCCTCCCTGCCCATGTGGATGCAGAGATTTGCCACAAGATTTAAATACTTTGATAAAGCTACTTCTACTACACCTTTGTTTGTGTCCATAATTATGATCTATTTGTCAGTCTGTGGTTTTATTCCTTAACAACTGCACCTGGGGATGCGAGGGACTGGAGTTATCCCTGAGCGAGTGGAGCTGGAGGGCTGCTGGACTCCTGCCTTCTCATCTGCTGTGAATTATCCCTCCTGCTGTGCCCCTGACTGTGCTGCTGCCAATGTCCTCACCTTCAGATCCTCTGAATCTGAGGAAAGGAATGTGCCCTGTGTGTTCTGGGAGTTTCAGAGGCAGCAGAAGTGGAAGAGAGCAGAGCTTTTATATCTTCTGCTCAGCTCAGAGCAGCCCCTCTTCCTGGGAAGTTCAGTGGAGTGGCATTCCAGAGGTGATGTAAAGAAGGGGGGTTTATGTCCTGCTGTTAAACACTTCCTGCTGTTAAACACTTTCTGGATCATTCTGTTCCTGTGCTGCCCTGTGTGCCCTTCCTTCTCCTGTTTTGGAGCTGTCTTTCCCCATCCCCTCAAATTTTAGCTTTTTAATGCAGCCATCTCAGTTTGCTGCAGGAGTGACCTGAAGACACATTTATTTATCAGTATAAGTTTACTCTCAGCTGCCCAGCACTGCTGTCCTGTGGAGTATTTCCCAGTTCCTGGATAAACCCTCTCCATCCAGGCCTGTCCCTAAAGGAGAGAGGAGCAGTTATCACCTCCCACCGACAGCAACCCTGGGGGGAAAATAAAATCCTGTTACTCTCTGCTTTTGTTTTCCTAGTGGAAGAAAAATGGTAAATATTAGTCCAACTCATCCTGACCCCTAATTCCTGGGAGAGCTGGGCACGTACAGACCCTCAGGAGGAGCAATTTGGGAGCACAGAGGCCAGCAGGGATGACCTGCTGACGCTGTTTACTGCTGCTGCAGTGCACCAAAATAGCTCCTGCATTTCCTTTTAAGAGAGGTTGATGTGAGGCTCTGGGCCACATTCCCTGGAGGTGTGAGCCAGCCTTTTGAGGTTGGTTGGGAGAATCTCAGCCAAGGGTTCTGTGGAGCTGTTCAATCTGTGGGGTTTTTTTACTGTGTATCACTTAACTCGCCTCAATGTTCATTTTCAGCTCCTGGCTGTTATTGCAGCGTCTGAAGCACAGAAGAGGCTTTTATGTGGAGCTCCAAAACAGCCATCACCTGGAACTTGTAGGGTTTGTGCTTTGGAATCCAAGTCAAACAGAGTGTGGGATTTTGTTTCTCCTGGGTGGCTACAGGAAAAGCCTGGATTAATTACCATTTAGTGTCACATGGGATGAAAGACAAGGACTCCGTGTAGTAAGGTAAATCCTGCTTTTATCTTCATGTGCTCAAGGCAAGAAATCCCAGGCAGATGATATCACAGCTCCCTGGGATTATGTAATTCCTGAAAATTGCATCCAAATCTGCCACTGAGATTAGGGAGCACTCTGCCTTTCAGCAGGCAGGGTTTATAGCAATTAAAACAACAACCCAAACACTCCTGTTGAGGATGAGATAATCCAATTTAGATGAAAGTGCAGGGACTCAGATTCCCATTTGAGTTACACAAACTGGGAAGAGTTCAGCAGAGCTGGAGGGACGTGGGTGTGTTTGGACTCTCCAAAGGGTGAGCTCTGAGGTTGTGGGGTGGCCTGTTGCCATTAGCTTGTGTTTAATTAAAAGCTTGACAACACACACCAGGGGTGGCCTGGGAGAGATCCTGACCCGCTTCCAAAGGGATGGGGAGTCTGGAAGCATTTCTTGAGCTGATCTGGGGCTGGGTCAGGGGGCTGACAGGGGGCTGACTGTGATGATTTTTTTCCATGTGAGTCTGACTAGACAAAATTCCTGTTACTGGGATCAGTGTCAGGACACGGGTTCATATCCCGCACACTGAGACGTACCCAACACCCTCAGGAATTTCTCTGAATCCCTTTTGAGGAACAGAGATAAACATTTGACTCTGATCTTTCCGTGCTGGGTTTCTCATTACTGCCTTGTTAATCCCCAGCTTCTGCTAAACAAAGATCTGAGAGGAATTTTTACCTTCCAGCCTTGCTATCTCCCAGTGCATCTTGTAAATCATACTGGATACACCAGTTTCTGGATTTAACTTGGGATTTGCTTAGACATGAAATGGATTCAGTGGCAGGATAGGGTATGAATTTGAAATGCAATAGCAGAAACTGCTAGAGGTGGTTCAGGAAATGTCACTGATGGGGCTCACTTTCCCTTTTTGCCTGGTGGAAAACGTCCCCTTTTTTTTTTTCTTCCTTTGCAATTATTCCCCAGTCAAAATGGTTTTTCCAAGTGCAGTCAGTTTTGTAGGAAGGGTTTTGGGGGGTTCTGCTTGGCACACACCCTTTTTTCTCAGGGACAGGGTGGGATTGTTGGGGTGTCCTGTCCATGACCAGGAGTTGGACTCGATGATCCTTGTGGGCCTCTCCCAGCTCAGCATATTCCATGATTCTATGATTCCAATGTCATGCTGCTTCTGCTGTTAAATTTCCAGGGAAAAAAGCAGTGATGGATAACACAGTTAAGGTGAAAGAGATTAAGAGCTGATCATGGCCAGGGCTTGGCTTGTCCCAGGAAGCCACAGGCACAACAAACCCCTGAATCACTTAATTCTCACCTGCTTTTCCTCACTGATGGTTTTCACAGAGCACATCCCTGTGCATTGCCTGTTCCCACCTGTCAGGTGATGGGAATTGCAGGCTCTTCCAGCATTTTCTCCCTGTCCTGCTCTGTGGAAGAGGCTGGTGAGAGGTTCCTGAGAGTTTTCATCAGGGACTCACTGACTGTGGATGTGCAGTGGGATTTTCCCTGCTCCTCTTTGGATCTCCATCCATCTTCCTGTGGTGGGCTGAGGTCTGCTGGGCATCCAGTGCTTTTCACTGTTGCTCTTTGGGGGGATTCTCCCAGTTCAGCCTCTTCCCACACAATGTTTACCAAGGTTTGAATTTTTGGGGAAGACTGGGGTTGCTTTTTTTTCCTACAGTGATCTCCCAGTTTCTGCCCTGCCCTAGGATTTGAGAGGGAGATTTTTAGGTTCCTTTTGCACAAGTGGCTGTGCCAAGGAGACTCCAGGGAATGTCTTGTGATTTGGCAGAGCAGCTGGGAGATCCACGGAGGAGGAGGAGGAGAATGGGAGCAGCTGCTGGTCCCCTGTCCCTGCCAGCTTTGACAGGGGCTGTCTTTGCAAGGGTTTGGCCACAAAGTTGGGGGCTCGTTTCCAGACTTGGCTTTTTGGTTTATTTTGTTGCTGGTCTGGCATGTTTGGGGGGAGCTGCCAGTTGGAAAGGGGTATTCCTGAACACTGGGAATTCTTTCAGCTGTTAATTTTGCTCAGAACAGATTAAAAACTGACTGTTCTCCCCCATCCTTTTTGCCCTTTCTCCAGGGCTCAGGCAGGGAGCATTCCTGGGCTTTTCCAGCTGATTTCCCACAGTGGCTGTGCCTTCAGCACCTGCAGCTGTTCCAGCACTGCCTTCCAACCCTTTGGCAGGTGTTCCCACTTTAAATCCTTTCCATGGATTATGGATCACGAGCCAGGAGCCTGACAGAGGTATTTTGTTGGCAGACTTTCGTTTCCAAGAAACTTTCCTTCTATTCCCTGAGGGTGGGATGTTCCCCCCCCATGTTCCAAAAGGGAGGAAGGAGTAGTGGAAAGGCAGCTGCTGCCTTCAGCTTTTCCAAGAGCACCCCCTGACGTGCCTCTTGGATGGAAGAGGAGAGAACTGTCTTGGTGCCACCTGGATTGGAGGGTCTTTGAGGTGGGGAGGGGGAGCACAGCTCACAGGTGGGGAATCGTGGAGTTGTGGAGTGGTTGGGATTGGGATGGACCTTAAGGACCATCCAATTCCAATTCCTGCCGCGGGCAGGGACACCTTCCACTGGAGCAGGTTGCTCAGTGGGGTGGGTTTGTCCTTTGGGAAGTGGGATGGGATGGAGTGGGATGGTGAGGGGTGGGGAGGGAGGGAGGGAGGGAGGGATGGATGAACAGATGGATTGAGGGATGGATAATAAATGGGTAGATGGATGGGAGGGATGGATGGGCAGATGGATGGATTGATGGATGGATGGATATGGATGGGGATGGGGATGGAGGGGGAAGGCCGGACGGCGGGGACCGTAGGCAGCTGGAACTACAACTCCCAGCAGCCTCTGCTGCCCCAGCAACCAATCAGCGCGCGTTGCCGCGCTATAAAGGGCGGGCGCGGGTCACTTCCTTCCTCTCTCGGTGATGGCGGCGGGGCGGGCGGGCGGTGCTGGGCCCGGCGGGCAGTGCTGGGCCCGGCGGGAGCATCCTTCGGCATCCGCCGCCATCCGCCCTCCCCGGGGCTCCCCCGCCGCCCCGGCTACCCGTGGGCACCTCGGGGCGCTCCGATGGCCAGGAAGGGCAGCGCGACCTTGATCCGTCCCGGGCCGGGCCCGACCCCGGGTGAGTGAGGGAGGGACCCCCGAGGCTGAACCAGCCCCCGTCCCGAGGCCCTGTCGAAGCTGTGTCTGTCGGTGCTGTGGCAGACTCGGTCAAAAAGGAGCCGAGAGCGAAGGGATTTTCCCCGACGGTCGCCGCTCAGTTGGAGCCTCCGTAACTGTCCGGCAACATCTCGGGAAAATACACGGCCCGGGAGGGGCCGGAGCTGGGGGGGAGTGGAAGGATTGGCGCTGGAAGGAAGCGGCTGCCCCAGATCCCTGCTCCTGGGGTCCGAATCGCTGCACAGGGAGGTGGGAGCGGGCGGGTATCCCACCTTCCTGTCGTTTTAAGATACTTTGTGTACCTGAAGCTCAAGACTCTGTTCTTCCCCAGCAGCATCCTGGTGATCCCGGACTGTGGGATGGCTGGTGGCAGCCTCGCTCTGGCAGCATTCTGCAGGTGAGGTGGGAGATACAGGCCCTGGATTCTCCTTTAGGTTGGGAATTTGGGTGGTTTCGTGGCCTCCCTGGGCCAGAGCAGGGACCAGCAGCATTTCCTGCCCCTCTGCCCTAGGACGGTGCCAGCATGTCCTTCTTCCAGGGATGTGGATTCCCTGTTGGGCCCTGCAAACTGCCCTTAGTTTCTATCAAGATCATGTGTGTGTGGAATAAGGGCACTCCTCTCTCTGGGCCAAGCTAGAGGCAGAAAACTGGGAAGCAACCCTGATCCAAAGCCAGTGGATCACTGTCCACAGGCTTTCCTGGCTGAGCTCCGTGTTTATCCGCATGTTTATCCAAGAGCTGTGGCTCCACACAGTGGCTGCGGGTCTCCAACAACATGCCAGAGCAACGGGAAGGTCTTTGACTGCTGGGCCTCCTCTGCCCGTGGCTGTCACTCGCCCCTCCTATATATTTTGGGGAATTGGGCTGTTCCTTGTGGTTTCGGGGTGGGATGAGTCAGGGATGTGTCCACAGGAATCTGCAGCCTGCTGCTGATTTTTTGTGAGGGTTTTGTGATGTCTTCCAGGATTCCTGGGTGTTTCAGAGCTCTCCTGCCTGATGGATAGACCCCAGGTAGGAACGTGGTATCCGTGTTGGAGCTCCACAGCTCATCCCTCCAGTTCCCTTTCCCATTAGATCTGAATACCGATCTTGTGGTCGAAAAAGGAGGAAGAGTGAAAATTCACCCTGGTCTAGGGCTCTCTGCGGGTGTGTCCTGTCCTGAGAGGGGCCAGTGGGAAGACAGGCTGTGCCAGCCTTGCTCCTTGGGGAAGGCTGGATGGGAGGCAGGGAAACTCCTGCTGGGGAGAAGGGATAAATATTGGGCACGGAGGGCAGGGGTGTTGTGGTGGGTGGAGGGCTGGGGTTTATGTGGGGGGGATCTGAGCCATGGGTTTACAGGGATCCCTCAGCTTCACTCTGGCTCTGTGTTTTCAGGAATTACTCACTGAGAGAAAATGAGAGCTTGTGAACCCTCTCCCAGGGGGTCTGGTTTGCTTCCTGTAGGGCCTGAGTCGTGGGGAAGCTGCAGCGTGGAGCAAGTGAGTGTCCTGGTGTTGGCTGGGCAGGAGGTTTGGATCAGACATCAGGAGGAAATCCTTCCCTGGGAGAGTGGGGAGGCCCTGGCACAGGTTACCCAGAGAAGCTGTGGCTGCCCCATCCCTGGGAGTGTCCAAGGCCAGGTTGGACAGGGCTTGGAGCAACCTGGGCTCGGGGAAGGTGTCCCTGCCCATGGCAGGGGGTGGGAACGAGATGAGCTTTAAGGTCCCTTCCAACCCAAACCATTTGAGTGTTTCCCTGTGGGCAGTGCCTGGGTGGGATCAGTGGCAGCACAGCCTGGTCTGTGATGACTCGTGTGTCTGGAGACTGTTGGATGAGTCCTGCGGATATGGGGCTGAGGCCAGGCATGAGCTACCCCAAAACCACTCTGGGGTGGGGAGGGGACAGCTCCTGAGTGCAGGTGGGATCTGGCACAGCACCAAGCCTGTCTGCTCCTCACTCAGCTGGATTATTCTTTTTTTCTGGTCTAAGCAGAGGGTGGAGCTGAATTGAGCCCATTCCCGAGGGATTCGTTGCTGACTGGTACTTTACCAGTCCTCCAGCAGTGGGAGCTCTGCAGAGCCAAATCCCGGCTCCTTCCCGAGCCATGAGCTCCTCCAGGCAGGATCCACCCCTGGGCTCCACTCACCTGCATTGCAGGGACAGGGAACTGCTTTGGCTCCAGGTGCTGCTCAGGATCCTGCTCTGACGCTGTGTGGAAGAGCAGTCCCTTCTGTGGAGTTTCCTCAGGAGTGGAGTTATTTAATATTAGTGGATATTAAATCTTGGAGGCTCAATAAACACAATTGCTTGAAATCCTTGTGGCATCTCCCACGTTTGGGGTGTGTTGGGGTGGGGTGAGACTGGGCTGGCTCTGAGCCTGGCTGGGGATGATCAGTGCCAGGGGATCTGAGCATCCCCGTGTGGGATCCTGTCCCTACTGCAGCACCCACCCCTGGGGTGTCCCCACGGCCCTGGGTGGGTATCCCTGGAGTGCAGGAACACAGCTGGGCCATCACAGAGGTGCTGGAGCAGCTCCTGCAATCCTACACTTCCCAACGCCCTCGATTGGAGCTTTGGTGATGCCAGTGGCCCAGTTTTTCATGATGGACAACAAGCGGGGATGTAGGGATCACAACAGCTTAGGAGTTGTCATTCCCTGTCCCGGGATGGCTGGGCCATGGCAAAATCCCCTGGGGTGACCTGGCTGTTTGGCAAGAGCCAACCTTTGTCCAGTGCCTCTGATCCCTTTTCCTCTCTGGAGCCCCTTCCCTGTGGAGCCTGTCCCTCCCAGCTCTCCCAGGATCTCAGGGGGGACAACAATGTGTCTGTGCACTCACAGCCTCGCTGTCCCTTTGTCACCAAAGCCGGGCAGGACAGACCTGGCATGTGACAGCGGCAAACAACACCCCGGGGACAGGAGGATAAGGCCAAACAACACCCCGGGGGCAGGAGGATGAGGACGGAGAAGCTTCTCCCTCCTCCCGGGGACGGTTTGTTTGTCTGCCCGGGTGACTGCGGGGCCAGAGCCGTCCCTGTCCCCAGGTGGGGTGGGGACAAGGGTGGAGACCCGCCCGTGTCACCGCCAGCACAGCAGTCGGGATCCAGCCGGTCATGGGGACAGTGACAGATCCTCCGCAGGACCCCGACCCCGGGGGACACTTCCAGTTCCGCGTCATCGTGCTGGGGGACGCGGCCGTGGGCAAGTCCTCGCTGCTGCGCTGCTTCGCCGAGGGGCCGGGGGGGGGTCCCGGGGGCGCGGCCACCCCCGGCCCCACCGTGGGAGTCGAGTTCTACAGCCGGACCGTCCCGGTGCCGCCCGCGGGCAGGGCCAAGCTGCAGCTCTGGGACACGGCCGGCCAGGAGCGCTTCAGGTGAGCTGGGGACGGGGACACAGCCCCCCCCGTGGGACCCCAGACCCAGCGGAGCGTCCCCCCCACCCTGGGGTGGGTGTAAATCCCCGGCGGGCATGCGGGGACAGGCAGCGATGCCTGGCTGGGACGGCGACGCTTTAGGGGACAGTGAAACCTTGTGCTGAGCTTGTAGCGACTCCAGAGCTGGCTTTTGGGAGACAGCCAAGGGAGCAGGGCTTGGGGAGAGTCCTGGGATGCTGCTCCTGGGCTGCTGGTGGGCTGGGGACGGAGAGTTTCTCTCCTGATTGCATCAGGAGCTCCTGGGAATGTGAAAGAGGCTCAAACAGGACACAAAGGGCTGGAGAGCCGGTGCCGCGGCTGGACCGGGGGTTCCACGCTCTCCCCGCCCCTGGGAGCCTTTTTGGGGCCCCAGAGTTGGTCTGGGGGTGCCCTGCTTCTGTCCAATGCTTGGCCTGGGGTTGCTGCCCCCTCCCCACTGCGCTCCAGGCTATTGGGGGGGACGGAGGGACCCCAGAGCCCCTGAAAAACACGCCAGTGTCTGGACTGGGAAGGGGGATGCTGAACAGAAAGGTGGGATGTAAAGGCCCTGGCAGGTCTCCTTTTCCACTCCTCAAGTCCCGACCGGCACCCAAAAAGCCCCTCAGCCCCATCCCCAGGTATGTCAACGCGGGGGCTGCCCCAGTGCCCCTGGAAACGCCCCCTGGGTGTGCCCAGGTCCATCACCAGGTCCTTCTACCGGAGCGCGGCGGGAGTGCTGCTGGTGTTCGACCTCACCAACCGCGCGTCCTTCGAGCGCGTCCCCGAGTGGCACCGCGAGGCCGCGGGGGGTGGGGACTCCCCCGCCTTCGTCCTGGTGGGGCACAAGTGCGACCTGGAGGCCGAGAGAGCCGTGTCAGCAGAGGAGGCCGGGCACCTCGCCGCCAGCCTGGGCATGGCCTTCGTGGAGACCTCGGCACGCACCAACCTCAACGTGGACTTGGCCTTCCAGATGTTGGCGGGGGGCATCCAGGAGGCCCTGGGACGGGGGGTCCTCACTCCTCACCAGGGCTGTGATGGCATCAGGCTCATCCCCAGCCAGGGCCGCCGCCAGCCCCTGGCACGGGGGGAGCCCCGGGAGCGCTGCCAGTGCTGATGGGGACGGGGGGACATGGGACCCTCCACCCGGGACCCTCCACCCAAGGGGATGTCTTTCTTTCCACTCAGGCTTGGGTTTATTTCAAATCTCAATCTGGGGACTCTGAAAAAATAATGCTCTGCTGCAGGAGTGTTTTTAATAAACCTGAGGGGTTTCCACACTAAATAAAGGCTGTGCCAAGAACTGGATGCCGGGCAGGGACACAGGGCTTGACCCACGGCATGAGGGGTGCTCTGATTTGGAGGGGGGGTTGGCTGGTGGGGTTACACCCCCCAATGTCTGTGTCACTTTTTGGGAGCCTCCTATCACTGGGAAAATGGGAGCAGGAACACCCGAGTGGTTCCAGCTGGATGGAGCCAAAATAAAGGGAGTGAAGGGGCTCCAAAGGGGCCACCCCCGGGAAAATGGGACCAGGAACCACATCCAGCTGGATGGAGTCAAAATAAAGGGAACGAAGGGGTTCCAAACCAGCACCCCTGGCTCCGGGAACGCCTCCTGGGTGGAGGAGCTCCCTGCCTGCCCGGACACGCGCCCGGCGCGGGGGTGGCGGGGCCCGGCACCGGTGGAGGCACCGATGGAGCCGCGGTGGCAGTACCAGTTCCGGGTGATCATGCTGGGGGACTCCACGGTGGGGAAATCCTCCCTCCTCCGGCGCTACACCGAGGGCACCTTCCTGGACGCCGTCAACCAGACGGTGGGGGTGGATTTCTACGTCCAGTTCGTGGAGCTGGAGCCGGGGCTGAGGGTGAAGCTGCAGTTCTGGGACACGGCCGGGCAGGAGAGGTTCAGGTGGGTCCGTGGGCTGGGGAGGGGTGAGGGAGGTGGGTGTCCCGCCCTGGATTTGGGGTGGAATGATGTGATCCCAACCCCAGGGAGGTCCTGGATGGGGCTGTGTTCCCGTTGGTCCCTTTGGTGGGGGAGCCCCATGTGTGAAGGACCAGCCAAAGCCAAGGGGAAGGAGCACTTGCTTCAGCTCTAAAGGGGGGGTGGGCCCTGCTCCAAGCACTCCTCTGTCCCACAGCTGCAGAGGAGCTGGGGAAGAAGCTGGGAGCCCACTGGGAGCTGGGCAAAGTGGTTCTCCAAAGTGTTTTATGGCTCAGATGCCAGGAGCCTTCACACCTCACTGTGGGGCTGCCACTGCTGGCCAGGTGGCTGCTGGGGACAAGAGAACTCAGGAGATGTGGCTGCAGGGGTGAGAGAGCTCCAGGACTGTGGCTGAAGGGGAGGGAAAACTCCAGGACCACGGCTGCAGGGGTGGGAAAGCTCTAGGACCATGGCCACAGGGACAGGAGAGCTCCAGGACCGTGTCTGCAGGAATGGGGGAGCCCTGGGTCATGGCTGCAGGGCTGAGGGAGCTCCAGGACTGTGGCTGCAGGGACAGGAGAGCTCCAGGACCATGGCTACAGGGCTGGGGGAGCACTGGGTCGTGGCTGTGGGGCTGAGGGAGCTCCAGAACCGTGTTTGCA